TAATGGAAACCAATGGGAAGTAAAGGATTTGAGGAATAGGAATAGAAAGAAATGGGAAGACTGGGTTTGTAAATCACATAAACACACAAAGTAAAAAGCAGCATGAGCTTAACTGGACAAGTACAATTTAATCTAAGGAACAGAAAGCATGAACCTCATATCTCTGAAAACAGACAACACACAAACGAATCTAGAGCATCTTATGATGTCAGAAAGCGTAGTGCTCAAAAAGGATGGGGCATGTCAAAAGGGCACAGAAGCGAACCTGAAAGAACTCCCACTGGCCAGAGCTAATGACAGTATTGAATTATAACTCCCAAATAAGATATATACCTATGAGTCTGCAACGAATTAAACAATAAATAAGTGGAGAATGCACAGTTCCTTTGGTGAAAGTTAAAGTTAGTATAGGAAAGTTTGAGGAGAAATAGAACATTTGCAGAGTTCAAATATTTTATATATATATATATATGGAGATAATATATATATATGGAGATAATATATATATTGTTTTTTAGTGAAAGGAAGGAGGGAAGGAAAGAGAAATATGTGAGAAACATTAACTGGTTGCCGCGGGACCCTAACTAGGGATCAAACCCAAAACCTGGGTATGTGCCCTGACTGGTAATCGAACCTGCCACCTTTCAGTGCACAGGATGATGCTCTAACCAACCAAGACACACCGGCTAGGGCTGTCCCCCAATATGTTTTAAAATTATGAATGGAAAACCACAACTTTACTGTGGTAAACCCAGAAGACACCAGCTTAATCAATCGAGTGAGTGTCACTGGTGTGGAAGGCAGAGCTCTATAACGACTGCTCCCTCCCCTGTGCCCCCCACCTTTGCTATATGTGCCTTTCATAACCAGTGAGCGTGATAGATTCCAAGCCCGTGATTATGTACATTAGTGACCCAGCTGACTTTGAGGAAGGTAATTGCTTTGGGCCTGACCTAATCGTACAAGCCTGTTAAAATCTGGGTCTAGAAGTCAGAGATTAAAAATGTGAGAGGGATTATACAGGAGGGCAATTCTCCTGCTGCCCTTGGAGATGAAGGAACCACAGGGCAAGACCTGGATAGCGGCTCTAGGAACTGAGAGTGATCTCCAGCTGCCAACCAGGAAAACTGTTTGGTCTGATAAACCAAGAAACTTTTTGCCAACAACCTGAACGAGCTGGGGAGATGAGGCCCAGGTAAGGTGCACCCTGGCTCACGCCTTGATTTTGTGAGACGAGACCCTGAACAGATAGCCCAGCCATACTTTGCCTGGGTATTTATGGTGGTTTGTTACGGTAGAAGTAGAAAACTACTCAACTCATCGTAACACATCTACATCACGTCCTCCCTGATAGGATGCTCTGAAAAGGACACATCACATCTGATATTTCCTTGCCAAAAACAGAGAGCTTCCTCTAATCATGAGAAGACATCAGCCAAACCTGAACTGAGAGACAGTCTATAAAATAACTGGCCAGAACTCTTCAAAGAGATGGAGGTCAGAAAGACAGGAAAGGCAGTGCCTGGAGCAGGAAAAGGACATTAGTAGTAAACTGGTGAAACCTGAGTCTGCAGTGGCGTTAACAAGAACAAAACTTACAGCAAAACACACCTCAAGTTACTTCTCTCTAAAATTGGGCTCGTCAATGTAGTCTTGAGCAATTCACTTGCTAGGACTTGTTTTTTCCAATTGTTAGGTAACACGAAAAGTATGTGATGTGTTTTAAGATTCTTTGCTGAAATAGTAAGTTATGCTGCTGTTTGTCTTTTAATTCCAATTTTCTTTTCCTTTAAAATAGTTTAATTTTGGAAGAGATGGAGTATTTTAGAAGACTTGGTTGCTTCACAATTGTAATCATTTTGATGCAATAGTATAAATTAATGAAAATAAGTACTATTGATGGATGCAATACAAAAATGAAAATTTGGACAATTTACTACATTGGAGGGACTTTTTGTGGTTGTTGATGTTTGCTTTTCCTTTTTAAATCCTCATTCCAGGATGTGTTTTTATGGGTTTTTTTAGAGAGAGGGCAAGGGAAAGAGAAAGATCAGTGTAAGAGAGAAACATGGATTGTTTGCCTCTGGTATGCACCCTGATTGCAGAAGGAATTCGAAACCCAGTACGTACCCTGACTGGGAATAAAACCTGAAACTTTTTTGGTGTACAGGATGATGCTTCAACTGAGCCACCCAGTCAGTGCAGATGTTTGCTTTTTATTTTTATTTAAAATTAGAGGCCCAGTGTGTGAATTCCTGCACAGCTTGGGTCCCACCAGCCCACCTCAATAGGGGCCAATCGGGCCAGGCCAGAAGGGGGAGGGGGGGAGGTTGGGAGCCTGCGGGTAGTTGGCTGGCCAGCCCCTCCCCTGGTCGAACTCCTCATTAAACTCCTGGTTAAACTCTTGATTGAGGGGACAATTTGCATGTTAGGCTTTTTATTATATTGGATTAAGGAGTTAGCATGTGAAACTATAAATATACAAAATCTTTCAACAGCTTGAAAGAATAAACATTTCAGAAGTTTTCTGAACTGAAATCAAGATAGAAGCAAAAATGAACTCAGTAACACACTATTTGAACAGACTGATTCAGACAAGACAAACTCCCTTCCAATAGGTAGAAAGGGCCTGCCTGTGTTTGCATGAGCTAAGAATCGTATATAATAAAAGCCTAATATGCAAATTGACCCCTTGGGCGGTCATTTGACCAGGAGTTCGACTGCTCACTATGATGTGCACTGACCACCAGGGGATGGTGTGGAACATGGTGGGCATCCGCAACATGGCGCTGGCAGTGGGCGGCAGTAGAGGCACTGTTGGCCCTGATGGGCCCCGACGAGAGTGGGACCACAGTGGGATGGTGGAGCAGGTGAGGGGGCAGCACCAGGCCACAGGAGAGTGCCAGGGAGGGCTGTGGGGCTGTGAGGCTGGGCCATGAGCTGGGGCCCAATCCCTGCAGACCACCCCAAGTGATCCTACCTGTGCACAAATTCGTTCACCAGGCCTCTAGTGGTATCGTCTCTTTCACTATAATTTTTTTCTTAGCTTCATTTCAGAGAAATAGACACATACTATAAGGACTGAATAACCATACATCACATCATCAGTGTTCATTGTATGAAATACTCTGACTTTGCTGCTCGTACATTTGGGTAACAATTCTTCTCTCCTTCCACCATAGAGAAACACAGTACTTGCCATCCAGCTCAAAGCTGGCCTAACGGACTCCTTTGAGGTTAATGTTAACATCGTTCTGGACAGAGCAACAGGAAGCATCTGTGTAGCTTACCACAAACCGAGATGGCCCATTCTTTCCCCATTTAAAGTATAAATTCTGTTGGTATTAAATTACTTAATTGCTCTTGCTTTATACATTTAAATATAAAAACATCATTGTAGAAATCTCTGAGAAAACAAAAATGATAACTATATAAATACTTTAGTTCTTTCCAGTTGGTCAATATTGATTCTCCCTACCCACACCTCTATAATTGAAAGAAATTTGTTCTATGAAAGCTATTCCTGCACATCTTTTGTTCTTATGTTCTAGAACCATCTACAATGACAGCAAAACTCAAAGAACAATGTTAGTCAATTAACAGCTGCCAAGTTACCTTGAAGAACAGATGGTACAATCGATCATGTCCAACAAAATGGGGGAAATAATTAAATAGGAGAGGATGCTTTTTGAATAATTAAATAGCAGAAGATCCTTTTTGCTTAAGTACAAATAACGGTTCTTTATTGCTGTTATATCTGTTTGAACTTTTGGCTTGGCTTTCAAAGTCCTCTTAATTGGGGACTTAGTTCCTACCATTTCTCAACAAACAACCCCTGCTGTACTGTAGAGAAGGCATGCTCACTCCTGCTGTACCTTATGGTATATCCTCTACCCAGATAAAAATCCTCCCCATTTAGATTCAGCGAATACCGACATAGTATCTCCTATGTGCCAAGACTATGCTAGAGATTTTCATGCGTTTTCTTGAATCTACACAAGCATTCTCACTGGTTTTTAGGAGCAAAGAAACTCAGAGCTCTGAGAGCAACCTGTAGTCACTTGGTTAACAAGTTGGAGCCTTGGTTTCCTCCAACCCACAGCAACCTTCTCTCCTCTCTCTGCCCTTCTTTTCCCTATGATCCCTTTCTTCTTCTTTAAGGGCTTCCTGATGTTATTTATCTCTGCAACTAGATGGTACGCCCCTATGCACAACTGTGTGTTATATATACTATAGTATATGAGGTGTACCGTATACTATAATGTGGATTTTTTTTTCAATAGATGGAGTTATACATATGTTGATATATATGTGATTTGATATGTATGCTATTTTGTTATACTGACAAGCTTCAAAACTTCATGTTCACCTAAACCAGGTGTCGGCAACCTGCGGCTCTTTTTGTTAAGTGAAAAAATCCTTTTTCTGCACGATCCGGTATATAGCATTAAGGTAAGAAACAATATATGCAGTGTTATATTTGTTTTAAATGTTGCAATGGTTTTGGGGCTCCCAGGTTGTTGTTTTTTTCCTTCGAAAACAGGTCCAAGTGGCTCTTTATGTCTTAAAAGGTTGCCGACCCCTGGCCTAAACGGATTTGGCTCAGTGGATAGAGCGTCAGCCTGCGGACTAAAGGTCTCAGGTTCGATTCCGGTCAAGGGCATGTACCTTGGTTGTGGGCACATCCCCAGTGCGGGGTGTGCAAGAGGCAGCTAATCAATGTTTCTCTCTCATTGTTGTTTCTAACTCTCTGTCCCTCTCTCTTTCTCTCTGTAAAAAATCAATAAAAATATATTTAAAAAAACAACAAACTTACATGTCCAATTTGCTGAAGGCATTAACATCATACATATTTTTACACTTAAAAATGATGAATTTCACACCAAAAAAAAGAGCATTTGAGGGAAGTCTTAATTCATTATTTTATTTTGAAGAAAAAGTTATCGTATACTTATGGTGAACATGCTCCATTTCAAGATACTTGTGAACGCTGGTTTAAACGCTTTAAAAGTGATGATTTTGATGTGAAAGACAGAACGTTCAGATCAACCTAAAAAGTTTGAAGACCAACAATCAGAAGCATTATTGGATGGAGATGCATGTCAAACTCAAAAACAACTTGCAGAAAGATTAAATGTTGCTCAGCAAACAATTTCCGATCATTTATAAGCAATGGAAAAGATTTTAAAGGAAAATGGATGCCATATCAGCTGGACAAAAGACAAATGGAAAACTGAAAAGTCCTCAGTAACATGTTGCTTCAAAGGCATGAAAGAAAGTCTTTTTGGCATCGAACTGTAACTGGCCATAAAAATGGATTTGTTTTGAGAATCCCAAAGCACAAAATCATGGATGGATCCAGGTCAACCATCAATTACAAGGTCAAATCGCTTCAAAAAGAAGACAATGCTCTGTGCTTGTTTGGATCAGGAAGGTGTGGTATAATATATCATGAGCTTCTAAAACCAGGTGAAACCATTAATACCGATTGGTACCGACAACAAATAATCCATTTGAACCACGCTTCTTTGATCATGAAAGGAACAGAATGTTCCAGAAGACATGGCAAAGTAATTTTGCTTCATGATGATGCACCATCACACACTTCAAAACCAGTTAAGAACACGGTGAAAGTGGTTAATACTTGCCTGGGAAGTATTAACCCACCCACCGTATTCACCAGACCTTGCTCCTTCAGATCACCACTTGTTCTGATCGATGGTACACACACTTTGTGAGCAGTACTTCAAAACATACGAAGAAATTGAAAATTGGGTCTCTGAATGGTTTTCCTCAAAACAAAAGTTCTATTGGGACGGTATCCACAAATTACCTGAAAGATGGGGAAATGTGTAGCTAGCGATGGACATTACTTTGAATAAAACACTTTTGATGTTTCTCTTGAAATTATCGTGTTATCTTTTATTACAAAATCCGCTATTAACCGGTACACCTAGTATATTTTACTTTCCTTTCCCACAGAGCCTAACTCAGCCCGGTGCCCAGGGAGCACTCAGGAAATTCTTCACCAACTGAGAGAAGGCTAACCTCTTTGGGCTGACTCTCCTATTTTCAACTTTGCAACATAATTCTTTGAATTAAGTTCTATATGGTCAGAACTTGCTGTGTGAAAAAATACTTCCTTTTAGTTTTAAATACCTCACTTGAGAGTCAAGTTATCTTTGATTTACAGGTCAATTTAATTAATGTTCAGCTGACCTACTTCCTTAGTTGACTTTAATCACAATCCTGTTGATTTTATTTTTCCAAGCACAGAAGTCCTATGTTTTCCTTCATTCTTTTGACCACACAATGGCTCCTTCGTGTCTCTGAGATTTGGCAAGCTGCATTTTGATGAGATAACCTACCCAGTGTCACATGTTCTCATCAGCCAAGAAATATGCTACAGACATGTTTTGTTTGGCCAGCAGTTAAAAAAAAAAAAAAAAAAAAAAAAAGGAAACAATATTTTTAAGCCCAATGCTCTCAAGTTCCTCTCTGCCCTCATCATTTTGATGGTCATCAGCCAGGCCAATTCAGATCTTTACCTTATGCCTCAATTGGAAAGCCAATGAGGACAGGGAACGTCTTACTGACTACTTAACACTGCATGATGCTACAAATTTCAGCCTTGTAACATATAGTGAAGCCTTCACATTTTTTGTCCCAACCCACCAAAATATACATATACACATACAGAACTGGAAAGAAATAATACTTTGTTTCATGAAATAATACTTTGACGACAACTTTGGAGATTTTCTACTCTGCTATTTTCTACTCATTCTATTCTTTTAAATCTTTTTTATTAATTGATTTGAGAGAGACACTGATTTGTTGTTCCACTTATTTATCTTTCAATGGTTGATTCTTGTATATGCCCTGGCCAGGGATCAAACCTGCAACCTTGGCTGTTGGGATGAAGCTCCAACCAGCTGAACTATCTGGCCAGAACACTATTCTTTTGGCTAGGTCATAAGCTGCTAAATTGATTTCTTAAGTTCCCTGTTTCAAACACACTGTGCCACAGAGTTCAGGTGAGGTCTTTTGCTATTGTACCACTTAGTAACCTGGATAAGAAGACACCTGTAACCATTTTGTTGGAGCCAAGTGCTAGGAAATGCCTAGCAGTCTGGTACACAGCTCAGTGAATAAATGCTTGTGGCTTTTTAAATACCTCACAGTTCTTACTGTGAAAATGTATAGTTCAATTGTATTTTTAAAAATTACATTTTCATGTACTCAAGAGCACCAATAACTTTAATCAAGAAATCTCACATAAATCATGCAAGAAAATAGTAAATATGTAAGTAAGGTTCTAATTAATTTGATATTTGTTCTCCAATACTTTAGTAATTGATCCTATAGCAGGGCTCTTTTCAGTTTTCTAATTAAAGTCCTACTTTGATTCCAAGCACTTACTTTGAATTCAGTGAAGAAAGAAATAGAAATTGACAGTTATGGAGTGACTGTTACATATCAGATATTATACTACATATGGTGCTATAAATCATCTTATTCAAGCAATTGTATTAAGAATGGGGGCAATGAGGTTTGAAAAGGCTAGGGAACTTGCCCGTTTGTACAGCTAGTGAATAAATATTAGCTCTGAGATTCACACGTGGGTTCCTGATCTAAACCCCACTTTGTCTACTACCTGACACTGTGCATTTTAAAACAATAAACTAGTACCTGTCCAATAATGTTAGCTGGAAGTATTAGCATTCCCTTTGTGGGAGGACTCTTTTTGGAGATTTTTCATAATTCTTTATATGCCTCATTGTCAAGTCTTTCTTCTTCAATACCTCATATTGAAATGTAAATGCATTTCCTTCTTTAGAATGGCCAATGAAAGAGGCCTTCACTGGTCCCAATATTCTCCTGTTGTGTGTTCTATCTATACTCTTCCTGTACCTCCACTTTGTATTTTTAAAGACTGTGATTGAGTCTGAATCAGGCTATCAAAAGCTCAGTTAAACTTATAATTCTTTGTTGCAGATTTTCAATTATCTGATATTAACAAATATCTGGGGGGAAATCAGTGGTCTGTTTTCTGTTTTAATGAAAATATTTGATATGCCATAATCATAGTCTTCTTTCACCTTTTTCTATGTTGAATTCAACTTGTGACTAATACTTAGTCCACTGTCATGGTACTGTTTAAAAACAAAACAAAACAATACTTGCTGACCTTTAGCCGTACTGCCTGAAAGGTATTTATTGGCAACCAACCAAGGAGAGCAGCTGGAGACCCTGCCTGTGCCTTCAATGCTCTACGCTGTTTCATCCTCACCATAACACAGTGAGATCGGCGCTATTAATATTCCTGTTTTTACAAATGAGAAAATGAGGAAACTAAGAAGGTAAGTAGCTGGCTCAGGTCATGGCACCAAGAAAAATGGTGGAGCCAAATTTCTAAGCCAGATGGCCTTGACCAGAGATTGGGGTCTTAACCACTGCGCCTCTCTTGCCAAAGAACACAGGTAAGCAATGCCCCACCCCACAAAACCTAGAAAACAACTCAGGGTATTACAGTAAGAATAAGGTCACTAGAATCAGGTTGGCACCAGAACGCTTCAGGGACAAGATTTTGAGCAAGGCATCAAAGTAGAGTGGGAATTACCGTATTTTTTGGACCATAATACGCACTTTTTTCCCCCCAGAAGTGGGGGAAAAAGTCCCTGCGTCTTATGGTCCAAATATAGCCTACACATATACTTTAAAAAAAAAGTTTTTTTACTTGCCCGGCTCTGTGTGGTCTGTGTGCTTGCCCGGCTCTAAAATGGTTCTAAATGCTGCTGTTTACTTTACAGGGTTGATTACATGTGTTTATGACTGTGATGTTGGTTTTAATGCACATAAAATATTTTAGGACACTATTTGTTTCAGAATCTTTTTTTCTTCATTTCCCTTCTCTAAAAATTGGTGTGTCTTATGGTCCGGAGCGTCTTATGGTCCGAAAAATACGGTAATTGGCAGAGCTGAAAGCTGGGGCATCATGATAGATAGGAATGGCCAGGGCCTATTGAGTTGGTAAGAAACAGCATCAGCCTAATGGACAAGGTTGGACAATTTTTAATCCATTCTTATCTTCTTCAGTCTCCTCATTTCTTTCTGGATTTCCTTAAGAATAAAACAGCCTGGCCAGTGTGGCTCAGTGATTGACCTACGAACCAGGAGGTGACAGTTCAATTCCCAGTCAGGGCACATGCCCAGGTTGTGGACTCCATCCCCAGTAGGAGGCAGCTGATCAATGATTCTCTCTCATCATTGATGTTTCTATCTCTCTCCCTCTTCCCTGAAATCAATAAAAAAATTTTTTTTTTAAATTAACAAAATGCAAATACCAACTGTAACATACTATAGCAACCAGATATGCATAAAATAGAAACACCAATGTATTCAATTAAGGTAAATAATACAATTTTTAGTTACTGTGACCTTTTTCTCCTGCTTGGTGTACTGTAACTGGCTTCCCCATTTTATATCTGATAATTTTCCTTATCTGAATTTAAATCAAACTGTTTGAATTGTATTAATAGTTACTCCTTATTTTGATTGAATGAGAAGATTTTCTCCTCCTTTTCCCAACCTCACTATTGAATTCTGGAAGTCTGTAATGAATATATGGCAGATATATTATATACAGGAAGTCCAAACTTATTAATGGGCTGTGTTCCAGTAAATTAGTTGTTTGGAAACTGGAATTTATTTTCCCATGGAAATAGTGGTTACGTGCCCAGGGGACCTATAAAAGCTTGCTTAACCAGGAACGTGACAGAAATGAACGCTGTCACCGTTGTGTTGAACTCTGCCTATTATTCTGGAGCTCTGTGGATTTCTCTTCTTACTTCAATGTGTTAGCTAACCACCTCTTGGGACACAGATTTTTTCATTATAAATTATGGAAAGAGCTCTCACTTATAATTCTACCCAGATCCAATCTTTAATACTGCTTCAGGGTGTTTCTTTTCACTAATCATTACTTAAAACATGACTTCGGGTGGAAAGCGGTTTCCCTTAGCCTCCGGTCAGGAGTCAGAAAAGTGGCCCAAGAATGCTCAGAGCCTAGGCTGAGACATCACCTTTTCTGCCGGCAGCAGGACGGGAAGGCAGTGAGATGGCTTGCCCCTGCTGCTGCCCGTGACCATCTGGTTCCCAGGGGATATCTTTTGGCCCATGTGGGGATTTAAAAATAAAAGATTTTCTTGGTTTCTAACTTGGCATCAGGTAATAGTCCCCACGTTCCAGTGCCTGCCTCATGTTAGGATTTGGGAGATTACCCAATCGTGTGTGTTTTGACTATAGTTGAATCTACTATGGTAACAATAGGAATATGCAAGTTAACTGGGATGCCGTAATGTCACAACCTAACAGCAGGGACCTGAGGCTGCATGGCACCTGGCGGGGGCGAGGGACCTCAGGCTGTGCTCTCCGCACAGCAGGACTTGTCTCGGAACTCGAGAATGCGACCCCCACCAGGTGCCAGGATGGGGGACCTGAGGCTGCACCCCCACACCTGGAGAGGCTTGAGGGGGGTGGGGCTGGCTGGGGCTGGGTCTCCTGCATTTTAGAAGTGCATGCAGGTAGGGGGGCGAAGACTTGACTTTAGGTCCTGCGGTGTGCCCCAGACTCTGACAGGAGGGAGATTTTCATGTACATTTTACTAATTTTCTTTCATCTCTGACACTTCTATTATAGAGAAAGAGCAAATAGCAATATTAAAATATTTCCCCTAATTAATCCCCTTTTAATGTGCACAAATTTCGTGCACTAGGCCACTAGTATTACAGAAAATTCACACATAAACAATCTAAAGCTATGATGTGGATATCTGGCAAATATAAGGCTTTTCTCAAAAGCATTTCTTTGCAGGGCACATTAATCACAATAAAACCAAAATCTTTGTTTTAGATACAAACATTACCAGCAAATGTTTCCAAAACAGAAATACTTCAAGTGAAAAAAAATGTGTGTCTACGGCCACCATCATAACAGTGTGGTTTTTAAAAACTTTAGCTTCTACATATATTTCACTTCTACCTTTTTACCTCGTTGGGAATTTTTTACACTAGCTAGGGACTCTTTGTATGACTTTTGAGTTTGCCTTTAGAAATGTCAGAAAAAGCATTTGTATAACTAGGGAAGGTTTATATTTTCAACCCTAGTCCTCCAAAAGACAAGCAAAACCCCCACTAAATTTGTATAACCATGTCTGCTGTCACATTTGCCATAAAGGCAGTGCATTTCAATTGAAAAATACTTTTTTTTTTTTTTGGCATCCTTCAAACAATGGATAGGCTTAGATATTAGACTTCACAAAGATGAAATAAGCCACTGATTGGGACTAAGAGGGCTCCAGCTGCTGGGTGCTCAAAGTTTGTTTGGCAAAGAACGTATAGCAGGAATTTAGCATTTCCAGGCACCTTGGAAAGTCTAGAGCAGGAGGAAGTTTTGAAATCTTACTGGAAAGCTTTAGAGCCAAGTAGGTCTACAGTACTTGAAAGTGAAGACAGTTTATCTCAACTGAATTTAAAAGGAGAAAGAGAAAGGAGGAGGAAAGAAAGAAAAAATAATACTCTTGGGGGAATCAAATGAGAGCACATGCATAAAAGTGCCCAGCGAGGTTACCAAGATGCATTAGCTCCTCAATAATGTTAGCCAAATTTGAGTACTGGGAATTTTATTGGGCAAACAGGATTATTTAAGCTCAATTATGTCAGTAGTTTTGTTAGCACCTGCAGCTTCTAGGAATTATAAAGACTTTGCACCTGCAATAAGTTCAATTACTAAATGAAATATTCACTGACCAATCTAATTCACCAATCCTATATAATAAAGAACTAATATGCTAATTAGACTGGACGGTGGAACGACCTTCTGACCTTCCCGGATGACCAGTGGGTGGGGCTGCCTCGCCTGAATTTTGTGGATCGAGCCTCTAGCATTGCAAATAAAGCGGGATTTCTTTCCCGGGTGGGTTATAATTCCTCCAGTCAGGGCTACGCTGCTCAGCTGGTGGGTAAACATTAAGGACTACAACTATGTACAAGTCAAGCTTTGAAACGCTAAGATTATGCACCATACCCCAATCTCCAGACAAGTATTGGTCACTAGACAGGTTGCATAAGTGGGTGCAGTCAGCACAAACACACCTTAATTTCTTAAAAAATTCAAAGCATTATCTATAAAGTCACATCATAGTCAAGGAACAGGTTGTTCAAAAACACGTTTTTCAAGTCCATTAGAGAAGTAATTTCCTTGTTATAACAAATGTGTTTGATCTCCAAATGTTTAAAAAATTTGTAAACTGAAGGAAACTTCACAACCCAAGTTTCCAAGATGATAAAAATCAGTTAATTTTAATTACTTTAGATTTTTCTACCAGAGAAAGAAAAAAATCTCCATAAAAGAACACTTGGACTATTCAGGTACACTGGCATTTTGGGGGGGGAGATACTTAGATGATAAAGATGGGGGTCAGCATGAAAATAACATGATACATGCACTATCTGAACTTATTTTAAATTTCTAAATTTGTAAGCTCAAAAAAAAAATAAAACATTTAGAAGTGGAGTCATCAGTTATTTCTTAATGCAATGCAATAAATTATAAATGAAAGAGACTCAAGGCAGTCATATTACCAATCAATTCCTATTAGGTTAGCCAACATGTGTCAGACACATAACTAAGTATAAGACTCACCGTGACCTGTAGGACAAACAGAATGATCCTCTGATTATTTTCTAATATTCTTCTCCTTCTCACAAAGATAGCAAAGCCTCTCTCCCCTGCCCCTCCTCGGCAGGGCTCCATGGGCAGTGCTGCAAGGGGCAGCACCTCTCTGTCCCACACTGCGCCAGCGCCCTCAACTCCCGGGATTGAAACTTTGTTTCCATGTATCTACTGAGCTTTGCTAATTAAAAAAAGAAAAGGAAAAAAAAAAAAAAAAGATTGATGACACCCACCATCCACCGCCACGTATTCGAAGTAATTTACACAGCCTGGCAGCGCCCTGGAAGTTCTGGAACAGACATTTTAACTCTCACAAGGCGCCTCTGGATCCCGTGGCACAACAGAGTGGACAGCAACACGTGCAATGCACCCAAGATGCTTGCCTTAACAACAAAACAAAACAGTCTAAATAAATTAAAAAATCTTAAATGCCTGGACAGAATGAATTCGTAATAAGTCCTTTTACCTAAAAAATCCAAAGCGGTCATCAAAGCCCAGTTCCAGTTCTGCAGGGCCCTTTCGGCCTGAGATGAGACTCCCCGGAACGTGGTCAGTCCCACTCCGGCTGCCTTGGCCCTGGCTGCCCTCCTGCCCGGCCAGCACTGCACCGGGGAAAAGGCCCATCTGCGGGCACCATGCCTTCCTGGGCGGACGGTGAGGTCTCACTCACCCTGGCTCTGAGGATGGGAGACAGACAGACACCCCTTTACAACCGCCTTTCCAGCAACCTCGGTTTGGAGGGAGATCCTCAGACAGACATCTTACACAGATACCTTCCTATACGAACACACACACACACACACACACACACACACACACACACACACACACACACATCAACAGGCAACTGAAGACCAGGTGGCTCTGAAGTCTCTGGAAGCATATACACACTGACCACCAGACACTGAACTTCATCTGTCACGGGGGGGGGGGGGGGGACAAAAATCATGAGCCTAAAAAAAAAAATTTTTTTTTTTTAAATAGTCACTTACATGGGAAACTAGAAAATCACCACCACCACCGGCAACCCTGGGTCCTGGTCAAGAGTTCTTCCCACCAGAAAGGAGATGCGGAGACAGTGCCCCCCGGGCGCCCACGGGCCGCTCCCCCAGCGGCTCCCCCCGCTCCGGCCCCCCGGCCCCCGGCCCCTCAGCCCCCGGCCCCCCGGCCCCTCGGCCCCCGGCCCCCCGGCCCCCCGGCCCCCGGCGCCGGAGCGCACGGCCGGGTGCCCTCTCGCCCCCCGGGATGACGAGGAGGAGAAGCCCGAGCTCCCCCGGGCGCGGGGGCACCCGGCCCCCCGGCCCCCCTTCCCTCGCCGCCGCCAAGATGGTCGGAAAGTTGTCGTTTCGGAGGCCGGGGAGCGGCCGCGCTGCTATGCCGCCGCGGGGCCGGTAGTGGTGCTGTGCGAGGCTCCGCCGCTCGCAGCGCCGCCGGCAGCCCTGCCTCCCGGGCTGGCGAGGAGGTCCGGGGAGTTCCCCGCCGCCATCCCGGCCCGGAGCGCCGCTGAGCTCCCCGAACCCGGACGCAGGACCCTCGCCCTCCGGCCGCCGGGGACGGGCTGTGGCCGGAGCGCGGCGGGGAGCGGCCGCGGCGCCGCCGAGCTTCCGCGTCCGCCGCCCGCCCGGAGCCGCGGGGTGTGTGTGTGTGTGAGGCCGGGCCGCGGCGCCGGGGAGGCGGAGGGAGGAGGGAGCGCGGCGGAGAGGTAAGCGGAGGCGGCCCCAGGCCCGGCCCACATCCCCGGGCTCCCGTAGCGCGGCGGGCTGGGCCGCGCGGGCGGGCGGGCGGCGAGCGCGCGTACGTGAGGCCGCGGCTTGGCCGGCGCGCCGGGCCCGGACGGAGCATGGAGGGTGAGGGGCCGGGGGCGGCGGGGCCGGGGGCCGGGATGCCCGCGGGCAGGGCCCGGGGGACAGGGGACGGAGGGCGGGCGGACGGGCCCGGTCGTGCGGGGCCGGAGCGGGGCGGGCGGCCTGCGGGCCGGGCCGGGTGGGGTGCGGGGCGGGGGTGCCGGCTACTAGGCCTCGGGCCGGCGGGCCCCGTGGCGACCGCGCCCTGCCCCGCGCCCCCCGCGGCCTCCGGGCGGGACGGGGCGCTGTGGGGCCGGGACCCGCGCCGCCCGGAGCCCCCCCCTGCCCCCGCGGACGCTAGGCCCGGGGCTGCCGGGGCGCGGGGCCGGGGCGCGGGGAGCGGCCCCCTCCCGGGCCCCCGCCCCCGCCCGCGGGGAGAGCGCTGGGCCGCCCCCTCCTCCGGGCCTGCGGGGCGGGGCGGGCGGCCTGGCGGGCGCGGGGTGGGGTGGCGGCGGCGAGGAGTCAGGTGCAGCCGCGGCCCGGAAAGTTTCCTTTCAGGCCCGAATGGGGGGCCGCCCTCCTCTCGGGGAGCCCCGGGGAGCGCGCCCGGCCTGGGGGGCCCTCTCGGCCGGTTCCTGTCCGTGAAGGTACTCCGCCCGGACCCTGCACCCCGCGCCCCTGCCCGCCCCACCCGCGCCCCGCGCCCCGCCGGCCGCCCGGCCGCCCGGCCCTGCCCGGAGCCCCGAGCCCGGCCCCGGGCCTGCGCCCGTCCCGCGCGGAAAAGTTTCCCGAGGATTTGCCGGGGTTTGGGCGGCGGGGGTGGAAGGGGGGCGGTGGGTCCAGGTGGGCTTTCTGGGGGTGCAGGCGGCTTTTCTTAGCCCGGGCCCCGGACCCCTGGCCGGTCACACTTCCCGATCTGGCCCCCCCGCCCCGCTCCACACCCCCTTGCACCCCGGGTTCCGCGGGGTCCCCGGCCCCGCGGGAGGGCGTGGGCGCGGGGCTGGGTGTCCGCAGCCGCCCCCGGAGGTGGGAGCTGCCCGTCCGGTGTGTGTGGTCACTGTCCTGCCCGGGAGCCGGACACGTGAACAGCCCAAAGGGGGGGAGGAGGGGGGCACCCCGGTTGTCAGGACGCGTGGGAGCGTGGAAGACGGGGAGGCAGAGGAGGTGGGCAGGGCACCTCCCGGAGCACGGCTCCGGGGTCCGTAGTTGGTTTCTCCTGATAACTGTGCATTTCTGTGGTCGGGTGTCCTGGACCCAGCCGCGGGGGGAATGGGGATTTAAAGGAAATGGGTGATTGCTGCCACGCAGAGGGGTCTGCGGGAGCCGAGCCTGCCTGGCACCCCGTCTCCGCTCCTTTCGGGGTTTAAACGGGCTCAGTGGTAGCTGCGTTTTGGTGCCTTGGGCTTTGAGAGGGTTTTGTTTGCTTGTTTGTGTGTGTGTTTTGTTTTGTTCCAGTTGAAAAGTTAAATTCCCAAACCTAGGTGTCCTGGTTTTCTGGGACGGGATGCTTCCTGGGGCTGCACTTGGCCTCCTCCGGGGCTCCTTTGGTATGGAAGTTGGGATGCTAATGCGCCCTGCCCCCCGCGGCCTGGCCCCGGGATGGGCAGGTTTGGAGGTGCTTTTTCCTCTTTTTTGTCGTCCCCCCCCCCCCCCCCCCCCGCCCTGCCCTCTGTGCTGGGCCTGGGGCCGGATGCTAGGTGTGTGTGCTTGAGCGTCCTGCCTGCTGGCCGGCCTGGTGTCCCACCTGCCCACCCCCAGAGCACGGCCACCCGCGGACAGGGTCCCTGGCGGAGCCGCGGATGGATGGATTGCCCAGGACTCGGTCAGTGCTGACTTCTGTCAGGCATGGAAGTGGGAGACTCCTCCTGTGAGTCCTACTGAGTCTTTTCCTTTTGTCTGCCTAAAATAAAACTACTTCTGTTTTTCCCCAGCGATAGATATTGTAGATAGATAGATAGATAGATCCAGCCATTTAGCATTGTTCTTAAGGGAGGCGTGATATGTGAGATGATATGGGTTGCTTACAAAATATGCAGATTGCATTTAATGGTTGTTTAACTTTATTGATTAATTGAAATTGCTTATTGACTTGGACGCTTTTTATGGACTTGTGTACCCAAAATGGTTACTTCTATTGGAGTTTGGCATTTTTAGAGCATATGGGTTGGAAGAAATCACTCAGTGAGTCTCTTTTGCACAATATTTTAAGGTTTTAAAAAAAATCCCTTTGCCTCATAATTCAATATTTTAAAGATACAGGTTTAACTTCACATTCCTAAGCTTTAAAAAACTATATGTACAAATCTCAAAAAACAATAAAACAACTATATGTACAAATCTCAAAAGTTTTATACTTTTCCCACCCTGTTACAAAATGTTAATTTCTTAATTGCCTCAAAGTCTACTTTATTCCTGAAGAAATGGTGTGGTTTATTTTCAAAAGTTACATTTTATTTTAAACGAATAAGAGGCTTCAGGGCAAATACGGAATTAATCTTTAATTGCTAAGGTGAGATACTTTTTACTCTTAAATGTTTAGTTCCAAAAATAAATATTTATTTTGATTTATAAGTCTGAAAGAAGGAATTTTGAATATCCCACCCCAACTATTTTTCTCAGCAAATCATGTCAATGCTATTCTTAGAGAAATGAAATTTTGATTTTGATGGGTTTTAAAATTTCTAAGTCAGAGCACCCAGAATTAAGTCATTAAAAAAAAAAAATGCTGACCCATTCATTCTTATTTAAGATGTTCCCCCAGGGTTAGCCGCTTTCACTATCCAGGTTTGGAACAATAGTTATGGATATTGAGAGGCCATTTATTTCTGAATACAGTTAACAGTCCCCTGGTCCGGTAACCCAGTCCTTCCCCACACACACGTGGTAACTTGTAAGCAATAGGTAGATAGGTGAGAATGGGTTGGAAGCAGCAAATTGTCCCCAAAAGCAGACACTCCGCTGCATATACAATGGAGTCAGAACCAAGCCCATTTAATTTATGCTAATGTAACTCTGTTTGTCCCAGAGCTCAGACTGTAATGCTGATTTTAGACAATACTTCTGGCTATTTTGAGACACGTGTAAAGATACCCTGCACTAAAACTTCAAGTTAAAATCTGGAGCCTCTCTTTTCCCTCCTGGCATTGAAGATGCCAGGCTCCCAGGTTCCGATGGTTTCTAAGACAGCTCTTCAGTTCAAGAAATTTGTTTCAGTTCGATTTTATTTGTAGCGTAACATCCTACAGTCAGACACAGATTTGGACTGGATTTTGAGTTCTCATCCAGCTCTCCCAGGAGATGGGTTACTTCCTCTTTGGCGAGTTTATCTGTAAAATAGAAATACCCCCTTTTGAGGTAAGGCCCATTGTTATAACGTTATGGCCATTAGGAAACCCCTCTATTGTGTGAAATGATTCTTGTATGAAATGTTAGGCAGACAATTAATTAATTGGGACACCCATGTGCTTGGCTCTTATTGGTGCTCCTTAAATATTAATTCCCACCTTACCTTTCTGTTCGCGCCATCTAAAAAGCATTTCTCTTATTTGTTTGCCCTTATTCTGACTAAAAGTAATAGATCCTCATGTTCATTCCACTCAGATTTATCCCAGGAGGTAACCATTGTTAACATGTTGTGTTTTGTTTTGTGTGATTGTGTGTACATACCACATAAACACAATCTTAGGGTTTTTTCCATTTGACAATGTTGTATAGTTTTTTGTTGGTTAAAGCTTGGGCTCCGGAGTTAACCTGGCCTTGAATCCTACCTTTGTGATTTGGACTACTTACTTAACCTCATTCTCAGTTTTTTCATCTGTGAGAGAAAGTGCTGATAATACCTCCTTCGTAGGGTTGCTGTGACGATGAAATGAGGAATTGCTCGTAAAGCCCTTAGAAGGGTGCCGGGCAGGGCCTTTGGATAGTGTTTTCCTCCAAAGAGTTTCAATACTTTCCATGTGATTTAAAAAAAAAATCTGAATGAGTTCTTGATTCATTATGTATACTAAACTAATAATTCTAGTGAGTATCGAGTGCCGATAGAAAGTTATAATTACCTTCATGGGGCAAATAAGTATTTTAAAAAATATTTTATTGATTTTTTTTTTTTTTTTTTTACAGAGCGGAAGGGAGAGGGATAGAGAATTAAATGAGAAACATCAATCAGCTGCCTCCTGCACACCCACAACCAAGGTACATGCCCTTCACCAGAATCGAACCTGAGACCCTTGAGTCTGCAGGCCGATGCTCTATCCACTGAGCCAAACCGGTCTCGGCACAAATTAGTATTTTTGTGCCAGTAGGAAATTAGCAGTATATTCATAGAAACTTTCAGCAGCTTGC